AATTAAAAGCCCCCACTTTTTTTTAAGTCAGTTAAAATATGTGCAATATTCCTATCTCAAGTTAAGATACTTTTTGTACTAGTTGGTATTATTAGAATCCATAGACATATAAATTGTTATACGGTAACCATGCCTCGTCTCCCAATGCAATAACATACCTAATAATTATGTAACCTAATCCAATCCTGTAGCTATTAGCGTCGCATTGCAGCCATTATAACCCGTTTGGCTCTAAATTGGCGACATAAACCACCATTGCATTGAACAGATCAACGCCCGCTTTGACCACTGGCCCGTCTGATTTCTAATTAGTCTATGGTAATTTGCTTTTAATTTATACAAGGTGTTTTATACTTGATTAACGACGAAGTCGGTTAAAAAGGGTTGGTTCTACTGCTCAAATGCAACAACATTTTCTAGAGGACCGTTATAAATACAATACAAGTTAAATCATACTAAATGACTTGATTGCTGATGGCAATTTGTATGTAAAGGTTTTTTTTACTAAAATTTTATAAAAATTTGAACTCTGTCTTTTTAGAAAAGTTGTTGCATATGAGTAGTAGCTTCAAACCTTTTCGTTTGATCAAGTATAAAAATAACACACTGTATAAAGGACAATAACACTCGTTGATAAAAAATAAATTTACTGGAATAAATTATACATATAAGAATAGCTCAAGTACCTAGTTGTATAAAAGGCGCTATCAATTCCAATAACACTTGAGACGATCTCTCCAAAGGCTTTCTAACGAACTGTACTCGTATATAAAAAGGCTATTTTGCTTATAAAATACTTTTTTATTTAGTAAATAGACCTTTTAAGTTTTCCATCATTTTACTTAGGTTTTTATTACATTTTCTGTACACAACAAATAAAAAGAAATGTAAAGAACGGGTAAAGTCACAAACTTATCGTCTTTTGTAGGCAGCGAAGCGATTCCAAAACGAATTTGTTATAAATGATACATTTCTTAGGCCCCAGAAAGGTTAAATACGTGGAAAAATACTTTATGAAGAATCCATACTTTGTGTGTAGTGTGCTTCAAGAAGACATACAAGTGTCTCTACATTGAATATATTCCAGAAAAAAACATTTAGATTAAGAAACTAGGAAGGTAACATGCCCAGAAATGTATCTACATATAGATAGTGCCATCCACGAAAACGCGCCCTACCTATGATTTGAGCGCCCCACCATTCTTCCGCTAATGTTTGAGTGTTATCGGTACACCCTAAATTATCTATGAGTGCACACGCACACTACAATAATGACGCTCGGATTGCTCGGATCAAACTCCCGCCCGCGCTTCCCTCGACCAAAAATTGGTGGGGCGCGCCTTCGTCGATGGCATGATCTTTAGGCCGCTAGCAGATTTCTTGTCTTATACAAAACTAGATGCCGTTTTACTCCCTTAGGGGTGGAGTTTCGTAAAATCCTTTTTAGCGGTTGCCTACGTCATAACATCTACCTACATGCCAAATTTCAGCCCGATCCGTCCAGTGGTTTGGGCTGTGCGTTGATAGATCACTATGTCAGTCAGTCAGTTACCTTTGAGTTATATACAATTTACATTGGATGCCCATACACTGAAAATAGTTACGTAAATACTCCTTTGCTTCGTCCAGCCACAACCACGCTATCGGAGTCATCCTCAAGGTGGTTTAGAAGCATTTGCGTCTATCGCAATCTGCCGAAACTTGGAACATTCTGGAACATTCCTCAGATGGTCTCGGGATGTCGCGGGCTTCGTCCTGCTGCATGCCATTGGTCGTACCTGACGAGCTCCTTTGACTAAATACTTGGCATAACTTGGTACTGAAATCTGTGGAATCTGGTACTAGTGTTGATAACTGTCTAGTTAACTGGGTAGGTAATTAATAAAGTTAGAGAAAGCTGCCAGAGCCTAATGAAACAATTAGGGAAATTCTTACTGTATCTGAGATAATTTAAAATTTCGTTTCGATTCTCAATTGCGATTGTTATTTTCTTTTTTGTAATTTATTTCAGACTACCACGCTACTTTTGCAAGACGCTTAAAAGTTGCTCCATTTCTAAAACCGTTTTGAATTTTCACTGTTCGGGATCCTACTAATCCTACTTAATATTATAAATGCGAGAGTTCGGATGTCTGGATGTTTGTTACTCTTTCACGCAAAAACTACTGAACGGATTTTGATGAAACATTACAGTATTATTGTTTATAATACCCAGAATAACATATAGGCTATATAAATTGAATAATGACGATCTGTGACAAACTAAATTTCACGCGGGTGAAGCCGCGGGCAAAAGCTAGTTCTAAATAAAGTTTCCACAATTATTATTCCGAATATTACAAGCACAAAGCCTATGGTATCTTTTAATCCTAATGCACGATAGGAGCTTTACTTCTCCATCAAAAAGTTCCCAAAAAAGGTAGATACTTAGATCTTTGTTATCCAAACGCATCACAAGAAGAACGAGCATTCGATATTCCATAACGACGTTAAGTCCCGGATTACAGGCATGTGTTGCATTATAAATTCAAATCTCGAGCACGTGCTCGATAAACTCTGGAACGGGATGGGCGCAATAACTCACAATATCGGAACCGGGATGCGGGAAAAGGGCGCAATCCCGGCTAGCGCTGTGACGATGTATCGGTCGAGCAATATCGATATATCGATTAAAATGCAGTGTTTGTAATGCAATATCGATATATCGGTTATGCAGTGTTTGTATTTATTGAATTAAAGCCTTACTTCTAAGGCAATTAAGTTTTGTGTAGTGTTAGCACATCAAGAGTCTTTTCACACCCATTTAGAAATAAATACGATATTAGTAATTTGCCATTTGCCAAAGTCATTAAACTCTCCAAGCCGTTATGGAAAAAGTACTTATAGCCTGACCAGGAACATAAAAACCCTGGCATAGAGGCGCGTCANAACTCATCAAAACGAAGTCTTAGAGGTACAGAATAAAATAATATTTTTACGGAATGAATTCCTAGAAACCAAAATATTTTCATTCAGTTTATCTCTCTGTGTAAAAGACTGACGCCCGTATTCATAAACATTTCTATGAGGTCTCACAGTGCGCGTGAACCAATCACAGAGCTCTATTCAACAATGTGCGTTCGATTTGCTTTGCAGCCTCACTTAAACAAGCATCGCTTGTGAGTTAAAATATCATAAACGATATTGTACTAATACAACTTATTGACTTTATAAGGTCACTATAACGCTAGTCCTCTTGATTGGGTACAGATTTCATAAACTTTATTTATGTTATTTTCTCTATAATAGACACTATACCATTAGGTAATACCTTGCTTCAGTATTATTAGCACATTTTTATAAAAAAATAAGAGATGTTTTTGCCTGAAAATAATCTAAGCGACACGGTGTGTTATGTTCGCTAGGATGAGTAAGTAACGCTTGATGTCACTTGGTATAAATATTCGTAAAAGGAGTTCCACGAACGGATTTTTTTTGTGACAAAAATACCTTCTTCGAGAAGCCGTTTGTCATGGTAACCCTACCTCCTTAGCCCAACGTAATTCCGACGTGTATGCTCGCATGCTAATTAGAGATCAAGTTTCAGACTTATTAATGCCTTTATAAGAGGAACATACGAGAGTCTTGGTATAATTATCTGCAAAATAAGCCTCTAACGACGCGCATTAACATAATTAGTCAAGGATTACCCAATTTTATACTTAAACAAACATTGAAAAGGCTTCATGTGATAAAATAAGATTGATGAATGTCTGAAAGGTCAAAGCAACATCTAACTTGAAATTACCTAGTTGTAGTTGAAGGTTTTCTGGTTACACCATCACAAGGTGGACAGACGACCTCATAAAGGTAGAAGGAAGGCGCTGGATGCAAGGCGCTACCAACCGTCCAATCTGGAAATCATTGGGAGACGCCTATGTTCAGCAGTGTGGCTAAAATAATGATGATGGTGATGACACCATAGTAAGCTGATTAACAAACTTAGGACTACCAGAATGTATTTGCATATTTGGCTACATATTAAGACAAAATATCAGCGTTAAATTATTCTATCTACACAGGAGTTTGATCCTGGCACACAGGAGTAGAAGAGGTGATAACAGTCCCGCTTTTAAAAACCTCTAGTAAACTTTAAAAAACCGATCATATCGTTAAACTCTCAACGCAAAACGGCAAAGGGATCTCCATTATGAAAAAAGTTTCGCCTGTTCCACATTCAGCGGTCCTAAGCAATGTAGGGTAGAACCGTACGTGGATACATAAAAGATGCATATGGACCCTCGTCTGTGTGAAAAACTAATTTGTCCACGCGGGTTTGGCTTGTAACACTCCTTCCAGTGAGTGACAAGCCACATGACACCAACTCAATTTAAACTTTGTTTCTTTCGCGCTCTGGAATCGGGATGCCTTTGTGTGTGCGACTGACTTTTCCAAGTTGATTGACGACCCAATGATTGAATCTGTCGATGGTTAACTTTTTGCGACTTTTGGGTGATTTTCTTTCATATGGTCTTATATTCGATATCGAAGTGCGAATAAATTGATCACATCAAAACAGCTGCGAACGGTGCGCACCAATATGTAAGAATAACTTAACCTTGTACTCATTACTTGATATAAAGTAAAGATTCAAGATAAAATTCTTATCACAAAGCATACGAACGTGCTTCCAACGGACTTGTACCAAATTAGATTTGATGAGTTTATTCTACGTCAACATTAAGCTCCAAGTAGGTACTTTTAGAACTGTACCTTTGATCGTACTCAATGTAAGTAAATGCAATTTGCAAAAAAGATTATCTACCGAAAGAATTCTCAAGTAAATTTCGTGCCAATTCATTCAAGAACCGACCAAAATTCCAAAACCTACTGTGAAAGTTTGGAAATTGATGAGCAATTACGATCGGCAAGCTACCCTACTCCAGTCTTCAAGTTTTAGCACGCTAGACCATATTCGGTTACCAGTCCCTTCGTAAAACCCTTCCAGAACACTCGGCAACATGAAGTCCTTGCACGCGAAATTCAAACAAAACGACAATTTTGTGAAACCCCTTTACAGAAAAGTGAAGTTCGGAAACAGGGTTAGGCCTATGAAAAAAATGTTTGTATCTGTTGACACAAAACCATGTGGCGATGGATTGCATGTCAAAAGAAAGGTCGTTACAAATAACAGTGTTGATTATAATGTTGTTGAAGTTAACAGTGAAAATAGTGATAATACTTTACCTGGAACCTGTGATAAGAGACTCCGAGATTATTATTCAAGATTCAAAATTAATAAACCTAAACTCGATTTTAAAGTAAGGAAAAATGCTCCATTTACAACTTACAGTTTAATAGAAAGGGATTATAAGAAAATGGAAGATGAAAAGCGATATAGTAGAGACGATAAATCTATTCAAGCCAAAAATAGTTCATTATTGATAGAAAAGGTAAAAACTATTTTATAGGCACAAATGTATTTAATGATCCTTCTGTAATGATCCAAAAAAAATGTAAGGCAGTTTTAATTTTAAGAAGGCCAGACACTATCAGTACTTTTGCTATCAATAATACTGATAATTCTTCCTTTGCCGATGATAGTCAATCTTCCCATTTACAAAACCAAATTGCCTTATCGCACTAATCGTCATTCCTTCATTCCAACCACCGTACTGTCTATCAGACAGATAGAGTCTGATCCGCTTTAAAATTTAAATGCAATGATTGAATTAAATGATGACATTGAAATAGAATATAACTTGTTGATATCATCTAAAATTATCAAATTCAAATTCTTTATTGCTCCGTGTTTGAATTTCCATCAGTGAATCATCTTTCTCTTTCTGATTTATGTCTCATTTACAGGTCCCAGAAACCTGGTTGCGCGTGTACCCTGCCCCCCAGGTTGCTCACGAGGCGACGTGTTCTGTCATCTTCAGATGCATCGTTTGTCAACTAGGACTGGCCACCTTTCTCGTCCTATGGAACATTTTGTGGGTGTTTGTCATACACAATTTTGAAGGTAAATACGATTTCTCTATATGCTCATCAGTCCACTTGACATTACTATACCACTGCACAGTGTTGTAAATCGCTAAAGATTATTATACAGGGTGTCCCAGAATGGGTGAATCAAATTGCTAGGGGAGGTAGCTCTACTAATGTAACTATCCCTAAAAAATATTTTTTTAAAAATTGAGTTCGGATTTTTTTTTTAAATAAAGTGCTCGAAATCGAAATCTAGTCATTATTTTCAAAAGTTTATAGATAAACGAAGCAATCATGTACAATTAATATTAGTAAGAAAAAAGTACAAATAAACTCCAAACGCAGCAATTATAGCCAGATACAGGCAAAGCTGATTTATTTTCACTTTTTCAAAAAAAAAAATGTATGTCCTTATGCGCTTTTTTTTTCATATTTTTTAGGGATAGTACATTAGTAGAGCTACCTCCCCAATCAGTTTGATTCACCCATTCTGGGAATACTTTAACTAAGTAATCATAATTTATAACATGTATATCACAGTATTAAACATGATGTGTATCGTATGTGTGTTAAGTATTATTTTCCCTAGACAAATAAAAATTAAATATTGTGTCTTACGTATTTTTTACGAAATAAAAATAATGATACTGTTATCTTTCAGGGCCCTACGAAACTGAAGTGTCCATACTATTCGAGAAGGAACAAAATCAACTTGTTATTGACCTTGCTACGGAGTTGAGACAGGTAAGTGATTAATTATTTTTTTTTTATGCATTCAAGGCAGGTATTTGACCACAATCGCACCTGATGTTAAGTAGGATGCAGTCTAGGAAATTAAAGCATTTAAAAAAGACTTGAGATAAAAATCTTAGGAGAAAGAGAAGAGAAGAAGGAAATGTATCATAAGACGAAATATTGGCATAAGCTAAACTAAATAGCTTATGCCAATATTTCGTGTTATGATACATTTCCTATGTCAGTTAGTAATCAATATTTGGATATCGACAATCTGATTTCATTGTTAATCCTCGGCTTTTAGTTACATTACTCATCCCAAAACATGGGTATTCTCGTAACGTTATTCTCCCTCAGGTTTGGCAGATTACAGACATTATTTCAAACTTTAGCGTGCTACACCTTTTCCCTTTCCTCCACGTGTAAGTAAACTTTTGATTGATGAATATTTAATTTGTGAGAGTTTGTAAAAACAATGTCTTTTTTCGTTGTGAAACACCCTCGTACACATTCAAAAAGAATTTTCCTCCAGAGATCACAGAGCTGTATTTCATTTTATTACTGTAGCGGCTAAACTGGCCACCACGAAACTTTTTTCTTTTTTCGTCGACCAATATCGTTACTCATTTGTTATTTTTCACTCTGTATTTTTGCTCGCATTAGAACTTGTTTCGAAAGTCGTAAGTGGTGGGGCTTTCAAGACTGACATCTATAATAGTAAACTTACGCCCGTATTCACAAACGATGCTTGCATAAGTGAAGCAGCAAATCGAACGCGCAGCGTTGAATAGAGCTCTGTGATTGGTTCGTATGTCACCCTGTGCGTCCACGCGCACTGTGAGATCTCATAGTAAAGTTTGTGAATACGGGCGTTAATGTTAATTGATGCGGATGAAACTTCTTTACGCATATTATCGGGATGTAGTTTATTTAGGACTCCCTTAGGAGTGACGACACTATCGGCTAAATAATAGACATCCAAGTATATGAATAAAAGCTGCGCGAGTCCTCTTTCCTCTACTACTTTGCGTGATCTTTGCCAATAAGCCAAATCTTTCGCTACATTGAATTTTACTCAACCACATTGTCATTTATGTATTATACATAACATTACAACAACGTTATTCCGTACCGAGCTACCGCAAAAACGGTCCCTTATGATAGCGTCTCTTATCCCGAAACATCTGGATTTTGCTAGAATATTCAAATTTCATTTTCGCGAGATGTGCAAATTGGTGCGTAACGTATTTCGGGTATTCCCCCGTATGGGGTATCGGTATGAATAAATGTGCGTATTATATTAGGCTGGTGTCTATTGATGTTCCATAATCCATACTCCAAACCGCAGGGTAATAATAATAAACGAAAAGAATATGAACTGCCTGATTTGAAAGGGATAACATTACGTTACGGATATTTTTTTTAAATCTAATTCGTGTTTCCAAAACATTAAAAATCTCTAACACCGAAATTAACTTTAGTCAAAACAAATATTCTTTAGCGTACTATCATTATTACCTACTCTGTGGTACTAGGTATTTAAACACATTCTCAATAGTTAGGTTGCTTACTTGACATTCTGGAAACTTTAAGACGAGGCTACACTATTCCTAAACTAAACTAGTTATTATTCTCAAATGAATCCGTGCTCTTTGTCTCTTGGTCCCTAACCATTACTACCACATCACCGCAATTAGAATTCAATTGCCCAAATATAGCTTGCAGTCCGGACATTGCAAGAAATACCAGCTCGTACCGAGCTAAGCGAGCTGAGCGCAATATAAACGCTGTTGTTAATCACAGCTCTGTAATTGGGAAAAGCGAGATTTGCCAGCATTCCTTGAATGCGCTTTCACCGGGGAATGTTGGATTTCGGGTGTCGTTTGTGCAACGAAAATTGCGTTTTAAATAGTGTGGACTAAGCGTTATGTTACTAGAATGAGGATGCAATTTTAACGGTGTTTAGTTGGATGAAACTTAATGTTCTTTTTAATATGTGTATTTTAGGTGTTTTCTTTAAAAACTTGATGACAGCATCATACGGCAAGGAAAAAACTAATTAAATCAAAGCTGGAACGGGAAAACCAGGTCTGCATCACACCTGAAGGAAAGTGATTTTCAGGTCAAAGATGGAAGCGAGATCCAACTGGAATCCTAAACAAATACAAAGCAACTGGCTATTACCTCCCACTGCCGTTATACGTCGGAATAATAACAATGTCATGTATGTTACATACGAGTAAATGATTGCTCACAATGCTTATAAAATGAAAATCGCATTGCTTCGATATTTCAGCCTCACAGACTATTCCAGCGAGACTCTGTATCTAAAATTGTACTTTCTTTACCCAAAGGAATATTTTTATTCCCGTTCTATAATATTTACTATGCTCATGATATTTGCAACTCAACTACATTTTCCTTTATTCGCTTGAGCGGCGTTGGAAGCACCCATAGCGTTGGCACGCCGAATGGAAGCATGCCAAACCATTTGATAGTTTTCGAATTTAACACAGCTAGGTATATAAAGTACATCAGAATACAATACATATAATACATACAATAGTGGACCTACATTTTTGACTCTTGTATCTTTGGTACTAAGATACACACTGTAAAAAGTATGTATCTACTTTTAATGCTCATGTGCATTATTATTAGAATAGGCTACTTTCCTAAAAAAATTTGTTTAGTCCGTCATGTTTAATATCAAAAAATATTGGACACTTATATTTTTATTTGTCAATCTAACAAATAATTACATAGTTATGGTGCGTTGAAGTTCCGCGCGACGTCACAAAGTGCGGCACTTTTATGCACTCATTGACGTCACGGGCATCTTCTTATGAACTTTGGCGCGCTTTATCTCTTTAAATTTTCATTAGTTTGAAAAAGTGAAAAATACGTGTAGAGTATTTTTTGATAATTTAATTGACGGACTAATTAAAACTCTTGCTTTTTGACCCAGGAAACATCCCTATTAGGTATGTGAAAAGAATGGCATTGGTTTCTTCTATCGACTTGGCTGTTTTGTTTTTAAAGCAGTTAATAAATTTTCATAACTTTCGTTTGTGATGCTCCATTTTCATATTGCTATTATGTGTATTTGACATCAGCATTTCGTACTTATCTCCTCCTTTAATAAAATATAACATTTTTCATGTACACACGGCCAGACTGTTAACTATCTATTTCCTTTTTTGACTGTTAATTATCTATTTCCTCTCATCAAATCGTGATTTTTTGCGATAGAACGAGACGACATGACCGGCAATGAGTAGTTAATACTGTTGCCGATAGTAGGTACGATCTCCAGTTATGAGATTATGCACAATGACATATCATATTTATGCATTGAAACTTTTTTGCTTGTCTTCACCTGTGCCAAAAAACCAGACCTACATGCACTGCAAAAATCGCTCTTATTTCAGGTGCACTTAAAGTTAAAAGTTTCAGTTTCAACACTTAACCCTTGCCGTGCTGTAGGATCACGAATGAATTTACATAAACCACTTGCTAAAACATAGGAGAATGCGGGTTAAAACGGGATGTTCCTTGGGAATAATCGACACAAGCGCTCCCTGAACAATTACAATATGTAAACCGATTCTGCTTGTAATAATATCCCGGAAAACTTGGGCAGAGAACTGAAATTTCCTACTATGTGTATTTGATATTAGTAGATAGACACAGTATAAAAAATACATTGTTTAATTTGGGATGTAATTGGAGTAATGGGTTAACAATCTTCTCATTTTCTGCAGCAGCTGAAGTCGGATTTTTTGAGTTTTGTTCCTGAATAGATTTTGGAACATAATTATGGTTATTCTTTATTAAAATAATAATCAAACTAATTTAAAGCCTCCACTTTTTTTCTGAAATCGGTCAAAATATGTGCACTAGGTACTCCTATCTCAAGTTAAGATACATATTTTTTGTATTATTTGGAATTATTATCATCCATAGACATAGAATAAGTATGATATACCTAAATTGTTATATTAATTGGTAACCATACCTCGTCTCTCAATGCAATAATACACCTAATAATTATGCAACCTAATCCAATCCTGTCAATATTAACTATTAGGCTGGGTTGCACCATCTTACTTTAACTTTGACAAACGTCAAAAATCTGTCAAACTCCATACAAAAAACCCCGGTTAATGTTATAGTTACGGTCAAAGTTATGTGGTGCAACTCAGCCTTAGCGTCGCATTACAGCCATTATATCCCGTTTGGCTCTAATTGCATTGAACAGATCAACGCCCGCTTTGACCACTGGCCCGTCTGATTTCTAATTAGTCTATGGTAATTTGCTTTTAATATACAGGGTGTTTTTATACTTGATTAACGATGAAGTCGGTTAAAAAGGGTTGGTTCTACTGCTCAAATGCAACAACTTTTTCTAGAGGACCGTTATAAATACAATACAAGTTATCATACATAATAACTGATTGATAATTGGATGTAATTTGTTTTTACCTGTTTTATTTGAACTCGGTTTTTTGCGAAAAGTTTTTGCGAATGAGCAGTAGAATGAAACCTTTTCGTTTGATCAAGTATAAAAATAACACACTGTATAATGGACAATGATACTCGTTGATAAGAATGAAATTTACTGGAATAAATTATATGTATAGAATAGCTCAAGTACCTAGTTGTATGAAAGACGCTATCAATTCCAATAACACTTGAGACGATCTCTCCAAAGGCTTTCAAACGAACTGTACTCGTATATAAAACAGCTCTTTTGCTCATAAAAATGCTTTTTTATTTAGTAAATAGACCTTTTAAGTTTTCCATCATTTTACTTACGTTTTTATTACATTTTCTGTACACAACAAATAAAAAGAAATGTAAAGAACGGGTAAAGTCACAAACTTATCGTCTTTTATACGCAGCGAAGCGATCCCAAAACGAATTTGTTATAAATGATACATTTCTTAGGCCCCAGAAAGGTTAAATACGTGGAAAAATACTTTATGAAGAATCCATACTTTGTGTAT